TTATAAACAATTTTTTTATATACATATTTATATTGCAACACCTATTAAAAATATATTACTTTTTAAAATGAATACAAGTACACTTCAGATTGCATTTTTTACTATTAGACGAATAATTAATATATCTCTTTTGTTGTACCGAATTGTTTTCAGTATTTTGATTTTTCAATTCTGTTATTCTATTTTTGGGCGAAGTTGATGTCAAGTTTTGAAGATTTTTCGATTCCTGTATCGCTGATCGTATATCTTCTGATAAATTACATTCTTCTATACTATTTCGTTCTTTTAAAAAATCGGCTTTTTCAAATAATTCATTATCTTCTGTTTTATATTTTGGAAATAAATCAGGGTTATTATTAATGAAATTTTTTATTTTCTTTAACTCAATACTTATTTTAAAATCTGTTTCAGTTACTGTGTTACTTTTATCCTGTGGCTTATAGTTTGTATGATTTTCAAGAAATAGTGAACGTCGAACCAACTTTGTGGAAGTATTGGTCGATTCATTTCTCAAACCTATTTTCATGCTATGTATTTCGACTGCAGTATTCGTCATATAATCAGAGTTAAAATTTCGAATATTTCGTTTTACATCTTTAACACCATCATTATATTTATTGTTCCAACTTGTGGTGGCAACAGAAGAATTTTCAGTATTATTCATTAAGCTAATGTCCTCATCACTTTGCCCTATAACTGTGTCTTCAAGTGCTTCGGCCGTAGGTTGCGTAAAATATTCATTCTCACTTTGATTATTACTATTTGTAGAAACATTTGAATTATTTGTAATTAATGCTGTATTTGTTTGTATGTTATCTGTTACAGTTTTGCAAGGAATTATCACTGGATCTAAATTCTCCTTTGTATCATCTTGATAGTTTTCAGATGGTTCATTAACTAACATACATTTATTTTTATCTTTATTACAAGCAGATGAAATATTTTGCAAAATATTTTCAGATCTGAAATTTGGAGAAATTTTATTTTGTTGGGTAGTTTTCTTTATTGATGCATCAAGTTTAGCATTCTTTGTAATAGTAGTTGAATTTTCCATATTAATATTTACGAAATATTTATCGTATAAGATCATCTGTGAAAAAAAAATTATAACCACATAGGAATTGTATGAACTATTGAAACTTATGTTGACAATAGACATGCATTTTATGAAAATATATTTAATATCTTAGTACTACCTGCAAATTATTTAAATTATGTACACGAAACTTAAGATCACGCAAACGTATATATTCTGGTATCAGTTGAGGGTAATTACTTTCGACGTCTACGTCTGTTTCTTGGTGGCAAACATTTTTCGATTTGGTATTTGATGTCCTGTATTGTGGAATGATACTATAATTTATAAAATATGTTATTGGAATAATATTATTTACCAACATTTTATCCATATGAAATGTATAAACATTAAAATTTAATTTCAACAAATTTTTATAATACAAAAACTCAACAGCAATTAAGAATAATTATTATACTTACATCTCGACATTGTTTTGAGATTTCCATTTTTTTGCCGTTTCTGATTTCTTTGACTTTGAGTAGTCGGATTCAATAAATTTTTCCGAAGAAATAATCCTTGTCTCACTTGCGAAGCCTGTGTTCTCCGATGCAACAGCAGGATTGGCGCCTGCATCCCCGTCACACTGTTAGAATTGCAACTTATACATTGAAGAAAAGGTACATGGAAGCATATATCAATGTATGCAGACCCCGTACTCATTTCTCTTTAAAAATAATCCATAAATAATAACGGCTATATATTTTTATTATGATTTATAGTATTGCAATATAAAAATTATGCATTGTAAGAGAAAGAACAATTTAAGGATTAACATTTGTATTTATTTTATGCATGAGAGAAAATTTTTAATATTAATGTAACTAACATATTGTATAGGGTGCAGATAAAGGTAATTATTACAAGTATTGTTAATCAAAAATATGCAATTTTAAAAATATTTTACTTACATTTTTTGCAGTACTATCAATTTCATTCATTTCATTCATAATACGTGCACTTTCGCGATTTTTTTCTTCGTAATCTGTCAAGCTTGTACATGTATTACTTTTATTATATAATGCGTTACTTGATTTATTCACTTTCAATGAATGTTTTCTACTAGATGCATGCGGTACATTCTCATTTATATTGCAATTTTGTTCAATTTGAATACGTGATTCTCGATTCTGTAGATTACATTTATTTGCAGAAGTGTTGTTGTTCTTAGAAACATTAGCAGTTTGTATATTTTCATCAGATAAAAAAGATTGTGATGCTCCATCCAATACTATATTGCTTCTTTTTATCTTTTTTAGAGGTATACTCAAGATATTTTTATCAAGTTTCCTTTTCAACTTTGATTCTGAAATACTATTTTGAGAGAATGAAGATTGCAATACTGAATTATTACTTAATAATTCATTGCTATTTTCAGATGTCAAGTGATCAGTATCATTGATTTTTTGTTCATGTTCAGTAGATGGTACATTCTCCAACTCTTCAGGTGCCAAGGACATGACATTTACAATTTTAATATTTGAAAGAGAATCAGTGCAAGTATATCCTGTTTCATGGCTCAATTTTATTGTTTCTTCCAAAACATCAGAATTTATTTTATTTTGTGAACTAATTTTCTTGAAAATATCAATTTGAGTTCTATTTAAATTATTTATAAAAGTATCATTAGTACCAATTTCATTCAAATTATTTTCTTGTAATAATTTTTCTATTTTTAATCCAGTAGATTCGTGTAACATACTAGTTCGATTAATTTCAATTACATTATTTTTAGAATCATTTCTTTCAGTTTTATTATCATAGGTAATAATAACAGTATCATTCAATTCATTACAACTAGTGACCTGTAAAACATGCATACATGAATATTTGTATAAATATTAATAATATGCATTATAAGTTGCAGTATTTACCTCTATAATCTCATCATCACTATCAAGTGTAATAGTATTATCAGCTAACTCATCTAAGTGTAGCTTGTGATATTCTGTCGAAGAATTGAGGCTGCCTTTTATCATTTCGTCCACTAATAAACATTCTGACTTATTTATAAAACTTTTCATACTACTTGTCGACTGCAAGTTATGCTCTTCTGTATTTGTTGAATACAACATGTCATTCGTATTTTCACTAGCTTGCTGCTTATTATTTCTATGTTATTTTAAACATTAAAATATACTTTTATTAGTATAAATATATCAAGTACAATGTATTTACACTTCTTTTTTCAATACTAACTCTTGTATTTCTCTATTTGCTTTAAGTTGTTTTAATTTAAACGTCCGAGAACCAGATCGTTGTTTAGTAGTTGACACTTGTGGTGTGGAAGTTGTAATTGGTGAACTTGATGTAAATGGTATAGGTGCATGATTAGCAACGAAAATATCCACATCAGAATCTTCCGAGTCAGAATTATTTCTAATTATGCAATATATTTCTTGTTGAGCTTGAACCAGCAATTTCTTGAGATTTACCTATACACAAACAGAACAAAATTTAATAAAACATTCCTTTTCATAAAATTTTCACTAATGAATATTTGTTTACCTAGTATAGAAATACATTCTCTACATTCCCAAGCTGGGTTAGCCCATTTAAGCTGTCCACAGGCCATGTGAATTCCTTGTGAACCACAAATTCGACAAAGTGCTAATTCCCACTTCCTATAGGATTACAATTAAAACACAGAAAAGGTAAAAAATAAAAAACGTTAAATCACATTATATAAAATATGTTTTTACTTACGCATTAAAACCTTTATAATTTCTACCTTTAGGACAAAGGCATCGTGGGGCATCACATTTATCATGTCTATATAAAAGTTCTTGAAATGCATTTGGTACAAGTTCCCAAGAAGCATCCCTAAAAAAAAAAAACATTAAAATAATTAATTTCGTTTATTTATTATTCTAATACAAAGCGTACTAAGTTTATTTTGTACTTACTGACTTGGAATGAAAATACCAAATTCTAACATTGCTTGTTGAAATAATTTTTTATCATTACATAATGGACACTTAAAAAAATATCCAGCACTCATAGCAAGTTGCTAAAAAAGTTTTTGTCAATCAATATACATTTTTATGTATTTTAAATTCATTGTAATAAATAATTATCATACCCTGACACACTGTCGATGGAACCATGCATTTTTTTTACAACATGGAGCCCATATTGTACGAGTTATATTATGAGGATTCACTTGCTCATAACATATGCAACATGTTACTTCTTTAGTTCTTGCTAATTCACGAGCTGTCTGAGTATCTATTTCCTGTTTTGGTCTATGTTTTACACAAAATG